AAAACAGAGTGCCCTGAATAGCAGAACCCATAGACCCCAATAGCAAAAGGAATACCGCTCCAGTTCACTAATGGACCATTATGTTCAAATCCAACATGATCTACTGTGCCAAGAATAAATAGGCACAAAACTACGATTACATTTGAAATGACCCCTCCAGCTGCAAAAATCACAGTCAACATTCACATTAAGCAGAAATTATCAGCCCACTTTTCAAACAATAAAACCTTAATAAGAAACAATAGCAGAGCAACACAAAGACCTGAAAGATAAGAGATCAAGCGTAGATCTTTTAGCCAAAGAGTGGGTAGAATGACAAGAGCTGTTAAAACTCCAAACAAATGCGTGGAATCCAGTTGAAAACCAGAAAAATCCATGGATGCTCGAGGGAATAATCTGGACAGGTTATCTCCTTCTAGAATTATAAACTCCACGCATGTTGTCTGCACTCCAATGAATATGTGTTAGAAGCCCATGATAGGATAAACTTGCAAAGGGATATATAAACACGTAAGGCAAGTGCTTTGCGTACATATAATTCCGCATACAAGATGATCTGCACCAAAACCGAAGAAAGCAGTCAGTGAAACTTCAAATTAATTGCTTAGCTACCATGCATTCACGTTAACTGTATTACATTTTCCACCTACTTGTTTCCGTTTAATTGAAACAGGAGGGTGGCAGCATCAGAATTAGCCTGCTAGTAAGAAAGGTTTAAGTGCCATAACAGAGTCTTTGTGGGAATTAGTATATAAGTTTATCAGAACTAGAGTTGCAGAACTAGCCCCACATTTTTAATTTTTACTGAAGTCTGTGTGGTTGGTTAATTGCTGATGATGCTACATAAATATGGCATCTATCTTGTTGGCAAGCATAAGAAGATTAAAAAGAAAGCCATGCCACTGCAATGAATTGTTGATGACAGAATTAAAGTTTCCTACATCAAACCACTCAGTCATTATTAAGCATGAAATCTGCTAGAGTTCAAGTTTAGAAAAACTTACAGAAACAAAAATCCGTCCAAATCTCCCAAATGCTGCCTCTCCCATGTCTGGAAAGGTTAAGATGCCTTCTTTGCTTTCAAAGCAGTGTCTCATAAGTTCAGCAGTATAGCAACAGACACATGCAAAGAGAATAAGCACAAACAAACTTGCCCAGCCACCTTCTCTAACAGTATAAGGTGTAGAAAGAAGTGCAGCTCCAGCCATAACATTTATCCCTGTTTCATTGCAAGACAATAAAGGCTGTTATTAACAAGATAAATTCCGGCAAGAAAAACAACAAATATTTTCAGTCCTCATTGCCTCTCATCCCAACAAACACACTCATACAATCATGCTCATACCACTACGTACTATTGTCTCCATGTATGGTAAGGTATCAGCTTTGCATTCTTAAAATGAGTAAGTACACAAGCCCCAATGAATTTGTTCCACCCCCTTTACATGTTTATGGTGTTTGTCCATAGCCTCAGTAAGAGAAACTGTAATTTCTTTTCAAAACATACAGGTAAATTCCAGAAAAACGAAAGACTGAATGTCAAAGAGTAGCAGAAACAAGAAAAACACATTCACAAATAAAGTTGTTACTGAATTTTAATCTAATTTTGGGAATTCCATAGATAGATAATCAAACGAACCACAGGTGTATGCATACTTTAAACAAACGCCAGTCATTCTTGTAAAGGATATGAAGGAAATGCCTACCATTGAATATAGTTTGTGTTAAGCTACATCCCTGACCAATAGGAAGTTCTCCAGTCAGTTGTCGGTAAACAGAACTCTTTTCCAGCCAAGAGGACTGCCTTGCAGATATCCTATCTACTTCTCCTTTCTGATTTATGTTCTTGTACTCGGAAAGCAAAGGTGTCTTCCCACTAATGTCCAAGCTATTCTGACTGCTACCGTCAGGATAAAATGCACCAGATATGAGCCGAAGATTTCCGAAATTTGGCGATGCTGCAATTGAGTAGAAATCCGTTGTTTCTCTGGAATAATACGGAAAAATTAAAGTACATCCATCATCTTTGCAGAACATATCAAATTTATGTGATCGTCACTAAAATCCATTTTGAGTCATAAAAAAAATGTTTAAAAGCATATATCAAGATTCAAAAGCAAAACAGAGCACCTTATAGAGTATAACCTCACAAATTTGAGTACTAAAACATGGAAAATGCCATCTTCTTGGAACTAAAACGCCCATAGAACTCAACCATGGACTGATTTTGGCAAATACTGAAGTTATAAGAACATCCAATCAGCAAATAACTCAATCCCAATAGACTAAACGCAGAAAGTTCATGCAAGCACCCATGGAATACCAGATTGGTTGGGAGCAAATCCCACTCCTCCACTTTCCCTGGTACCAAAGCAAAACTTTACGCATGCCCACTAGTTGTAAATCTAAATCAGGTAACCAGGCTTCAAATTGATCAATTCTACCATGAATCCTCAGGTTCGAATTGCTATTGCACAAAAGAAACAGAGCTTCTGCACGAAGCTGTATTCGCATAAATTACAAACTTACTTGTAACTCTGAGGCCATTGTTGAGAAATGAACGAAGAAGAAGGTGAAAAACTACGACCTCCACTTTCATTATCAACATCAGCAACACTTTTGTCTCCTTCTTCTTCTTCTTCTTCTGATTCCATCCCCTCTTCTACATCCCCATCCTCTTCCCCACTTTCGAAGAAAACCACTTCTTCTTTCGCCCATTTCGTCATAGCTACTCCTCCAAATACGCTTTAATTCCTCAACCCGACACCAAAATCCCCAGACCCTTTTCCTATAAATGCTTGCTTTTGTTTAAAAGTCCAGAATATCCGCGAGAGATCAGATGTTTGAATGACAAGAAACCGACGCCGTATACGCTGCTTTCTCTGACTTGTATTTGTCTAACCCAAAATTAATGGAGGAAGTCGATGAACATGTGGATGGCTGAAATTCGAACATTATTTATTGTTATGACGACAAAACCACAACTACCTAAAGGTTGAAAGAGATTGAGATGCTGACAAAGCAAGGAAAATGTGCAGAGATGACAGAGTTGCAATGTGTATGGCATTCTGAAATCTGAATGAATGATTATTATTATCTGTACGGTGCGGGCGCCCCGCAAGACTGGTTTGGTTTGGTTTGAACTTTGAAGATAAGGGTGTTCGACGCTGATCTTGCAGCCTGCTGGGTGCCACTGCCACCTAAGTCTTAAGTGTCTAATGTAGGAATATAAAAGGATTGAATTATGGGATGGGATTTCAAAATTCACGTGAAATAATTGAAGTGGCTCCGAACATTGTAGGCTGAACATTGTGGACGACTCTCGCAGTTACGATGAAGGCCGGGGAGACTTTATGTTGTTTTGTCTTTTTTTAAAAAAAAAAGAAAAGAAAAGAAAGAAGTGCTATTGTAAAATTTATAAATTAGGGTATTCATCGACCGGTCATTGAAAATTCGGTTTAAAAAATTTATTGATTTTATCGATTTTATTCTGTAAGACCAACATTCGATTACCATATGTCGTAAATTGGGCATTGTTAATTGGTTTCTTTGTTTTTCGAGGGACTGATTCCAAAATGTAAAAATAAAACAAAAATTCTGAGTTTCTTCCCACCATCAAATTAAAAACATGAGGTTGGAATTTGAAAAGTAAAGTTTATAGTAAGATAAGTTATAATACTATTTATTAGTAGATTAGGACCAAATACGGTATAAAGGTAGATAGTAATATTTGCTAGTTAGATCATATAACAATTTAAATATCTTCTCAGCTTCAACACTATCAGAGCGCATGATGGAGGAATATAAGAAAAATTCAAAATTCTTTTTAGGGATGATTTCAGAAACCTCCCTGAGGTTTGTAATAATTTCATTGAGCTCTCTTGAGGTTTTTAATATTACATTTACCTCCCTTGATGATAAACAATGACTACAATAACCTTCATAATTTTTTTCAAAGACAAGCCATTGATAAAAAGTAACAAAAAAAAGAGAAAACAATTCTTCTTGACCAGGCCACATATTGTGACCAAACTGTTTTACCCATAGCTATTAAATTGTAACCTTCTATCACACAAAAAATGAAGAATTTTGGCAATTGAGGGACTTGGCTGTTTGAGTAGGAAAAAGGTAAGGATTATGAGTTTTATGACTAAAGGTTTGGTAGGCAATATATGGAAGAAACCTATAGAGAAGTAAAGATTATAAAGGTAGGAATTATGATGGTGGATTTTGTCATCTAAAATAAAGAGTTTGTTTGAAAAAAGAAGAAGTGATAAGAGTTTGAAATTTTGGGTGGATGTAGGAAACCATGGAATGGAAAATATCAGGACATTGGCTAAGTAATAAAACTCATAATTTTGTAGTATACAAGTGTATTTTTTATTTTTAAAAAAATTTAATGACTATTCATACTCTGAAAATTAGATGAGGGCAATTTTGGGCATTCATATACTTTTTGGTCTTACATCATCAATGTGAAACCCAAACTTATGTTCTAGAGGAGGTATGCGTAATTTTCAAAACATGAGGAGAGCTGTTTGAAATTGTCAGAAACCTCAGGGAAGGTTTCTGAAATTATCCCTTCTTTTTATAAGCTCTATTCATTGTCAATGAAATAGGCTGTAAGAGAAGTATAGCCATCAATAGCAATCGACATCCACAAATCACAAGTAAAACAAATTCTGTTTTAGCAATCAAATAGCATAACTTTCACCTTCTTAGACTTTATTACATGCATTTTTAGGATATCCATTTTGGTAGTGTGGCGACCCCACTTTCCCCTAAGGCGAACCAGAGGGTTGGCGGGCCGTCTGCCTAACTCTCATCAGGACTCACGCAAGAAATCTAGCCCAAATCCTTCCGAAGTATAGCCTAAATTATTACAGTATTGATCCTCCAAAATAGATCAATAACTAAGACCACATTAACTTCAGAGACAACAGCACTTTAAGATAGCCAACCGACGGCTCTTAAATATCTCACGCGTTACAACCAAGTAGTAAATTCAAACAACTTCAAAAGTATATATTCATACGACGCAAATGTTTACATACGAGCCAAATATCAAAATTAGGGTTTACATTTTTCCAGTTTCAAGTGGTAACCCAAGACAAAAGTACATTGTTTTATTCGAATTACATTACGAACTGCAAATCAAAGTCACAAGGTTCAAATACATTCATAAGCAAATATAAGTAGGCTCAGATTTCTCAAACGTCAAGACCTGTCAAGGAAAACAAATAAACATGGGGTGAGCTAAAGCTCAGTGGTACCCCAAAACATGCAATCAAATAAATCAAACAGCGAGTAACAATTTCACAAATTGGACAATTAGGAAAGCGTATAACAGCACAAGATAGGATACAGGGGCTCTCAGGAGCCATTCACCACGAACTTGATCAAAATTTTCCGTAGCCGACCCTCCGTCAACTTTCACTACCTAAGGTCCATGTAGATCTTCTTATTTTTCTTAACTCCGGCCACCAATCATACCCCTTTACCGGGCCTGCACGACAAACACGAGAGTGGTAATACTCGAGTATACCTTAGGGACTGGTCGAGGAATTCATCCAACGACGTTGCGTCCAACAAGAGATTGGGGACTAGTCGAGGAATTCATCCAACGACGTTGCGTCCAACAAGAGATTAGGGACTAGTCGAGGAATTCATCCAACGACGTTACGTCCAACAAGAGATTACCAGGTCAGGGTAAGAGTCCTTTCCACCATTAAGGTGTAGTACACTCCCCTGCCTAGTGATTAACAAGTGCAAGCAAGTATTCATGAAAACATTTCAAGCAAGTCACCACTCGAACGGCTAGTGTGATAAAGTACACACTGCTCACTTCGATGGATCAAAAACCATTTTTTCAAATATCACATATCAAGTCAAGAAAGCGCTTTAATCAAGTAAGCATAAAACAAGCAGGGACACTCACCAAGAGTGAAGTCACCAGTCAAGTTGGGAATCAAAATCCACGTCCTCGCTAAACCCTAGAATCCAAGTTTTAAAAACTATAAGTTTTACTAAACAAACTCTTGGCTTATATATATATAAAAGATTATCTAGTATAAAACTAGTTTATTTTCTCTGAATAAATTAATAATTTTCTTAGAACCAAGACTAGTAAAAGTGACAAAATATTTCGTATGGTTTCTTTAAAGGTATTTCCCTTCTAGAGGGGCAAACTAGGACCAAATAAATTCAAACAAGTTTTCTTGCCGAACAAGTTTTCTATGTCTTTTATTTGAAATTATTCAAATCTAGTGTTTTTAACAAATTTCCTCTAAAACAACTAGTCAAGGATAATTTTATGAAAAACTTAAAGTTTGGGAGTTAATGCAATTATTCCCTAAAGGTAATAAAATTGATTTGAGCAAAGAAAAGCATTAACTAGTCGGCAAGGTTTTAAAAGTCCCGATATCTAAATTTTAATATTAACGTACTACACTCAATATATATACAACTTGATATTAAGGCAAAATATTCCCACAAGGCTTGATTTAAAGTTACTTGAATTCAAAAGACTAAAATGGACTTCACGATTCCAATTCATTGGCACATTGTCTTCCAAATTGCCATAATAGCTGAAACACAATTCGAATATAAATCTCGCTAGGGCTTCATCAATCATTAGCCCTAGGTCTCAACAGATTTTATTCCAAACAAAATTCAGCAAAGGAAGTCCAAGGTATCCAAAACAAATTCCAAATCACAAACCATGGACCTTCCAAGTACATTTTAGCCAAGCACTTGAACAAATTCACCAAAGATTAAATTCTTGCAAAAACTACTCAAATGGCCAAGAGATTCATCAATCATTAGCTCTTGGTATCAAACAAACATTCCTTGCCATAAACAACAGAAATCTAACTCAAGTATAAAAGATAAGTCACGGCTAGCTTACATTCAAATAACTCTAGAATTTCATACTTTCCTTTCTTACTTTGATAGTCAAGAAAAATTCTAGCAAATGTCAATTCAAGATGTCTATTAAATCTCCATCTCTTACTTGCTAAGTACACTAAACTCTTATCATGCAAAAGAAAATTAACCAACCACGAACTACTCTTAACGTCCAATACGAGAGGCTTAGCTAAAAATTCGAGAGAAACTAGTTAAATGTTCAACCCAGAACAAGAAGAAAAACCACAGCCAACTTGACTCCCAAATAATTCTAAAATTCAGATTTTTCTTCAATTTTTACTTAACAACATACAAAAGGTGATTAGCAAGCTACAAGTAAATCTTAAACATTCCATATGAAAATCTTAGTTAAAATTCAAAGGAAAACTAATTAAAGGCTCAACCTCTTCTTTCGGCCGCAATTCAGCATTCTTTTCTTTCTCTCTTTTTTTTTATTAAACACGACTCATCTCAGCTTCATGCATGATCAAAATAATTAACTATCAATCAGCTTTGATCCAATCCAAGTGCGGACATCATAAAAAAAAAATCATCCAACCAGAAATTTCATTCCAACCCACTCGATTGACATGCATGCATCCAGATTTTGTTTTCCTTCAAATTTCTGGTTTACACACTGCTAATAAATCTCATGCAGGGCTTAATCATCCAGTATTTAGTTAGCTAAACACGCAACCAAGTGAGAATCAAACACTTTCCAGCAAATTTCATACTAAAATACCCATACAATTCCCAAAACAACTCCATCGGCTAAGCTGGAAGATTAGTTTAGCAGTCCAGCAACTTCCAATTAAATTTTCCAGCCATGCAACCGAATTCCTGGCCATAAAGTTCACATGCAACACCAAATAAAGGCTATCTATCAGATTGGGTCCAAAACTAAGCTCAGATCATCACAAATTAGCAAGTTAAAGCTGAAATTCCAGCTCAAGCTCTCGGCAATTCTGATTCCTTCACAACCAGATTTCTTGCAACTAAATTTTGACATCCAACCGCACAATCCCATATGCATGCCCTTAAACAACTTCATCAACCTATAAACATCTGTACTAAGTCCGGAAATTACCTCAGTTTGGAGCTCAACACCCTCGGCTAGCTGCAAAAATATTTTCCTCCTCTCGACTGTCCAGAAATTGCAATCCGCCACTCCCTCTCTTGCTCAAGCTTGCACGCGGAATGGAATGGAGGATGATCGTAGCTGGTTGAGGTTGAAGAAAGGAATGGAAGCTCTAGGCAGTGAGGAAGAGGATGATAAAACTCACGCAGTTATCTCTCACACTCACTCGCGAACAATTTAAGAAAGCAACTTGCGCAACTTCCTCCCTTGCTCAAGCTTCTGATCAGGCAGGAAAATGGGAAGCTCGGCTCTTCACTCTCGGTCGATAATACAAGGCAAAGAGAGAATGTTGTTGTGGTTTGAGGTGTGATAGTGGAGTGGAGATGGGGTGCTGAAATGAAGATGAATCGCGGATGGAGGAGGTTGAGTGTTTGAGAGGAGAAAGGAAGTGTGATCCGGCAGAAATGGAATCGTGATTTTAAAAGGTTGGCCAATGGATCCTTGGTGGTTGCATGGTAACTTCCGAGGTGGTGGAGGCTATTTTACTCTTTTCACGTTTCCTCCGAATTTTCACTTAAGTCCTTATTCTTAATCTAATTCCAAAATTTACCCCAATTGTAATTTGAATGCCTAATAATATACTATTCTCGCAAAGATTCGATTATCGAGATTTTAACGTCCTAAGTATACTAAGTGCACTTGTAACGGTTTTGTCTAAAATTTACCAACTTCATCTTATTGCTAAGGTTCCTATTAACACTTAACATTATTAACGATTAAAACTAGCTATCGGAATACAAAGAATTTATTTTAAGACTATGAAATAATCTACCTCAAGAGATGTTAATTTAACTTAACAAAACCATGTAATTTAATATTTTAGCACAATTATATTATTTATCACATAAAAATTGTTTTTACGCACTTATTTAAAGACAAGTGGAAATAATGCTAGAATTTATTAAAGAGTCAAAATGCAAGTGAAATATGCATGAATATATATATATATATATATATATATATATATATATATTTTCGGGGTTCTCACAGGTAGGATTCCTAGTGATATGCTTCACCTCTGGATTTAAGTACTCAAAAATCTCCCTAATGGCTAATCCCCTCATATTCAACAAATGTGAAAGGCATATCATGCAGAAAAGAAATGAATAACTCTCTAAACTTCTCTTGTTAAGTTTAGGATTTTTGAGAGAGCCATGCTTTGTGTCAATAACGTGCTTGTCTAATGTTTTTCGTGTTTGATTTAGGACAAACAATAAGATGATGTTTCATGTTTCCAGTCCTATTTCTACTTTTAAAACGATATACTTTAGCATAATGGATATAGCTTACCATCTAGGCCATCTTTATCCTACAATAAAATGAATATTTTATCAATACTGAATGAGATAAGAATCAAGAGAAGGAAGAAAATTCATACAACATCAATTGTTTGATTATAGATTATAAGATTAGCTTTGTAAATTGGAGTTAAATACTCTTAGTAATTTCATTTTTTTTTATACAAAGATGAAATTTTTACTTAAGATTCACTGACAAATTAATGTCAAAAGAAATTAAAAGTTTTTAGGAAAAATGTGTTTGGTCAACATAGCATGAGAATAATGCTCTGAACAAGGGTACCGGCCCTACTTCTGGTGGTGCTACATTTAATGGGTTGGATTTGGAAAAAGGTGCGAAGGATGCGAATGCTTTTTGTGCAAGTACGAGCAACGGTTTGAGAGAATGGTTGAATGGCATAGACGTGGATGTGTCGCGCCTTATTTTTCGCGATGGAAAAATAAAAGGTTTATGAAAGATGTGATTTTATTTTAAAATAAGTGAAAAGAGACCTAAAATGGAACTTTAAAAATGCGATAATTTGGGTCCAAAATTTAATCTAAAAGGATTTTTAAGAAAAATTAGGAGTCGCCACTTGGTATTAAGTTTGGATGTACCAAGTCACCTAAAAAAATTTTTGACAAAAAAAAATTAAAAAAATAAATAAAAATAAAACCCTTTTCGACAACTCCAGGTCTTTGAAAAGTAAGAGAAAATGAGTTCGGAAGTCACGATTGAACAAAGGAAAGGCAAAGGTTCAATTAACTCAAACCTAAGGCACCATTTCAACCTAGTCTAAGCTAATTGCGAGGTTTAGTCAAAATTTTCCTAATCTAACCCTTAATCTTATCACATTTGGATGTTTCCTACATGGATGAAATAAAAACATCGAGAGGGACAAAATGTTCATTCAAGAGTTTAATTGACCAATCACATTAATTGCGAAGGCCAAAATAATTCCTTGAAATTGTCACGAGTATGCAAATGATGAAATTAAAAGAAAAGAAAAAATTAAATTATATACATAGATATAAGTGATCAAAGAAAAAGGGAATGCAACATACTGGGTATGAGAGACAAAAACTCGCGACATAATTTTCTTATATAGGAATTAATGGGTATTTAAACTAAAAAGTTATAATCACCCATTTCCCATGTTTAAAGACTAATTTTCCTAACATAGACAAGTAAATGAACTAGTTTAAATGAGATGCAATTCTAAATGTCATGATTAACACATATAGAGGGTAAGGGGTAGAGAATAATATAATAGGAAATATCATGCAAATGAAAAAAGATCCTAAAAAAATATGCATGAAAATGTAATAAGTATCATACAAAGATGAATCTAACGTAGGAACGATCTAAGGATCTAGCGTTGGATTAGTCCATTTCTAAAAATCCTTACTAATATTGGACTAGCAAGTAAATGGAAGGAGAAACCACAACTAGCGTTGGACTAGTGTGGTGACATAATGTATTAACAATATATAGTAAACACATAAAGCATAAATTAAAACAAAAACACATAAGAGCACGTACCACATAACACATAAACATAATATCTATATGCAAAAATCCTATGAAAAGCGGATAAAGCACATAACACATAAGTCACATAAACACGCAAAAAAAAACATATCTATTACATCGGGGAGCCTAATTACAATCTAAAGGGGTAAAGAATAAATAAAAAATAATAATAACCTAACTATTACAATTTGGCATTTAAATGCCTCTCAAATAATCAAAAATTAAATTAAAGTAAATATATAAAATTAAAAACAAATAAAATGAATAACTAAATAAAATAAAATAAAATTCAAAAAATGCAATTACACACATAAAATCACATAGGAGCACATATGAAAATTTAAAATGACACAAGAAAATACCTTCCTTGACGTAGTAGCTAATGGGGAATTGGATTTGCTCTATTTAACTCCAAAATTAACAAAAATCATCAAGGCACCAATTTAATTGACAAATAAATCATAAAAAATGAAAATAAATATGAAATCAATCAAGTGAAACACTTAAATGAAGTGTAATCAATAATTAAAGAATAAAAGAAACTTCTATTTAAGAAAATCAAATCTATCAGAGATCTAATTGCAAAAAATTTTTGAAGATCAAATTATAATTATCACAAAAATATGGAGTCTAAATTAAAGAAAAATAAAATTTAAGGACCTATTTGCAATTAAAAATGGACATAATTGAAAGTAATCAAAGTATTTAGAACCACAATGAAAATACACAAAAGTATAGGGACCCATATGCAATTTACGGATCTGATCTCTTAAACTAGCATCAGGCCATTGGGCCATTTTTCTTATTTTTCAGGCCAAGATCCTCTCAGCCCGACTGAAAGCCCTAAGAAGACAAGCAGGCCAGCCTATCTTAGGTCCAAGCAAAACCCAACTAAAAATATATGGGCTTTATTCCTAAAGCCCATGTCAACAACCCAGAAAAAAAGTCAACAACTCATTGGTCAAACCCAACCAACAATTCCAAACCAAATCTCATCTTATTTTATGAAAACCCAACAAGATAAAAACTCAACTAAAAATTACTAAGCTCTGATTATGCATTAAATTCCAGAATTAATCTACTTAAAAAAGCATTTAAACATGGGAAATAGGATCAGAACTCAATAGGGCATAAATGGTTCGATTGCAAAAGTGTTTGGGCCATACTAGAATTAAGTAAAAGTTGGGGAATAAATATGAAATTTTTTCAGATTATTCATGCAACCTTCGAAAGCTTTCTTCTTCCTCAGCAATTCAGAAGATTCTCTGCAACTTTCGTTCATCAACCCAGATGCATTTATGCCAAGAAAACTCGAACAAAAGCTAACAATTCGTCAACTAAATCAATACAAAGACCTTAATCCATTTTCTCAACAAAACTTCATAACAAAACATTCCATTCAAGGGATCCAAAGCAACAGAAGGCAAACGAAATGCAAAGAACAAATAAGTGACTTCAGCTTTCATCTAAAAAAAATCGAAACCTAAAAATTTTTAATCAAAACAAACAGAACCTCATCTAAAAATCCTCCAAAAGCATTTAAGTGATAAATTTTCATACACATAAGCTTTACTAAATCATGAAACTTGTACAAAATAAAACCCACAGCACCCAAATCCTTATACGAATGTCAGATTGAGCAAAGAAAAGTTTTGGCTTACCTGGAAATGCTTCTTGACTGATTTGAGCGAAAAAAAACGCGGATGGAAATAAATCTGACGAAGTGGTACGCGAGATTACAGGCTGAGCCAGATATATTGAAGCAGCGAGTTTGGAGCCAGATTCAAAGAACTTCCAGTCATTTTCTCCACCAAATTTCTTTTTGCTGTTTTTGTTTTTGTTTTTTTTTCTCTCTCCCTCTGATCTCTCCGTTGTTTTTCTCTTCCGCCCCCTCTTCTACTTCCTCTCTTGCTTCTTGTCCCTTTGTCTTGTCCAAGAGAAAGTGCCAGGGGCGGAGCCAGAAAGAAATCTTAGTGGGGGCAAAAATAATACTAATTTTTTTATTTACTCTTTTTCTAGTTTTTTCAGCAAAAAAATAAATAAATTCACCAACAAGTACAAATGATACGTATAATCTATGAAAAATGTAAAAATTAAACTCAAAATTATTAATGTAATAATAATTTTATTTCAAAAGCAAACTAAACTATTTACAATTGCTCACGACGAGTTTTCATATTTTGATAACGGTTTACAACTTTCTCATTTTGAATTTCACGAAATATATTTTTCTCAATATAAGTAACTAAACAATCATTCATCCAAGTGTCTCCTATTCTATTTTGTAACCGATTCTTCACTATATTCATAGCTGAAAAAACCCTTTTCTACTGTAGCTGTAGCAACAGGCAAAATCAAAGCTAACTTTAAGAGCATATAAACCAATGGATACACAATATCTCTCTTAGTCTCTACCAACCTTTGAGCTAGATCAGAGATTTTCCTTAAATCGAGAAATTCCTTAGCTGATTCCAAGTCATTAATATAAGTATCCAATTCAATGTCAAGTGCAAGAATATCCAACTTAGAATATTCACAAGGATAATGTTCTGCAAAACGAATCAACTTTTTCTTGTCAAATGCTGCAAAGGAATCACTTGGGTTCAAGCATGCCATACAAAGAAGCAACTCCATATTGACTTCATTGAACCGATTGTTGAGTTCTTGGAGTTGTAAATCTATTACAGCACAAAATAGCTCAACTCGATAGTAGTGAAGGTTTGTAATTTGCTGAACTTTTCTTCGAGATCTCCCACTATTAATGAATATTTCATCCATTTTCGGAATGATGATCTCATGTTTTTCACAAAACGAACAAACTTCATCAAGCAAAAAATCCCATCCATCTTCCCTAGTAGCTTGTAATTGTTGCTTGGAAACTTTGGATGATAATCCCCAATTTTTTTTCTTTGGGCTGGATCAGCAGGTAATTCATCGAAGTTAATCCCCAAGCAATTTCTTTTATTGTCATTTTTTGCACTTTCATTATCCTTGGCTTCTTCTTTATTAGATGACTCTTTTTCCATTGATTTCCTCTTGAAATATCTCTCCATAGCTAAAAAAATTAAAATCAATATATAAGATACTGATCCAATTAAAATATTAAATGTACAATAAAATCTATCCAAAAACTATTTCACAATTTAAAGTTATTTATTCATTACTAATTTAATATATCAAATCAATAATCACAACATATGAACCTAATCAAGTCAATTAGATAAAAACTCAAAAGAATCCATACAAGAATAATTTAAAAGTTAAAATATATGTCAAATGGCCCTCTATTCATCATTACATTAACTCCAATATAAGAAACTAATCAAGGAAAATAAAAATAAATTATATATCCATAATCCATAAAAGCACAATTTCACAAGTTAAAATATTTATCAAATAACCCATTTATTAGTTGTTACATTAACTAATCAGTTTTCAAATTTATTTAAAACAGTAATAGTCTCATGCTCTAGAAATATATTTGCCAACAAATTTAAAATAATAATAATAAGAAGTAATTGTTTAGAAGTTAGAACCTGATTTTGATGGTCAGATGGTCTTCTAAAATTGGTGGAAAGAATTGCAAATCAGTGGCAGAGTTGTAGATGGTCTCCCGATTGTGGCTCTGTTGGGGTCTTGAGGGGAAAATAGGAAACCAGAAATTAGAGGACTAAATTGGGAATACGAAACCAGAGGACTAAATGACGGAGAAAGGAAAACGGACTAAATGACGAAAGAAGAAAATTGGGAATAAGAAACTAGAGGACGAAATGACGGAAGAAGGAAAATAGGAACCAAGAAAGAGACGTCGAGTGTGGAATAAGAAAGGTGGGAAGTGGCCAAGTGGGGACAAAAAAAATGGGACCAATAAATTGTGTATTAAGAAAGAGAACTGTCGGTGGTTGTAGCCTGTGGGGGGACAAATTGGAACAGAATAGAAAATAAAATTTGGGAAGTGGTCAAGTGAGGCATAGTCAAAACTAAGTTAAATATGTATATATATTATAAGGATTTATGGGGGGCAGTGGGGGCCCGTGCCCCCACCTTAAATCCGCCCCTGGAAAGTGCCAATAATGGAAGCCAAAAGCTCCTTTTCCTTCTTCTTTTGCTTTTTGGCCTTTTTCATTGCTTCTTCCATTCCTTTCTGGAATCTTGTCCGCCAAAGCTTGGTCAAAGCAAAATTTGGTGGCCAGCCATCATGATATCCAACGCCACTTCCTCTTTCTTTTTTTATCTTTTTTTTTTAAAAGAAACAAATCTGTAAATATATATAAAAAAATGTAAGAAAATAAATAATTCAATAAAAAGTATTCAAGAAAATATTAAAATTTTGACAAAATTTTGGTGTCTACATAATGGTTGTACTGAAATCGAGGAATTACTGCACATGAAAGAGCAGTTGATAGCAGCCAGAGAGACGATTCAGGGGCTGATTCAGTGAAACCGTCTTGGTTTCTGTAGATTTTTGTGTGTGTGTGTGTGTGTATTGGGCTGATCTCAAGAGGCACTCATTCATTCGTTTTATAGCTCTATTTAAAATATCCATGATTAGAACCATGGTTCGAAAATTCGGACGAGTCGTCACCGTCTCGACCTAGTCAGAGACGAAATTGCGACGAAACGATACCGAGATACGTGACTCGCCGAGATGTCACCGTAAAAGGTTGAAACGGCCGAGTCTCACCGAGTCACTTCGAATCATTCCGAGCGAACTCGAATTTTTATTATTTTTACTAATTTTTTAATTATTTTTGTTTATCATATTTTTTACAATTTTTAGAATATTAAATATTTCAAAAATTCGCATCTAGTCAAAACTGCGATCGATATGCTGAGATCGATGTGAAATGGTCCAGGCCGCGACCGCAACCGCGATCACGACTTTGAACCATGATTAGAACACATGAAAAAAAATTGATAAGAGCGCAGATCTTTTTCAAGACAACTCATCCGGAGAGTTGTCACTAACATATGGCTAGAACACATGAAAAAAAATTGATAAGAGCGCAGATCTTTTTCAAGACAACTCATCCGGAGAGTTGTCACTAACATATGGCAGGTTGTGAATAATTATGAAACAATGATGGTGTAATAACATCAAACGACAAAGATTGTGGGCATGGTCTATCAAGGATAAGTCAGTTTCTCTCGCCATCCGACACGACATATCAAGAAACAAGTCATTTTATAAAAAATAAAAATGTGCATACTCGTCAATTCTGTAATCCTGCATCAGCTTCCTCAATCACTAAGATCTCATAAAAATCACAATTATTCCTACATTTTAGACTGTTGATGTGGTTAACTTGTTGCAGTAATTTTTGGGATTTTTCTAATGTCAACATGGTCAATAATTAATGCACTTTCTTCTGTTAAAAGCATGGGATTTATATGGGCATGATTGATTATTGGTTTAAGGTGCCAAAGTCAAAGATTTCATCTTCTTGAGATCTGTTCTTCATTTTCTTATAAAGCAAGCCATCCCATCAGAAACCAGAATTTACCATGTGATATCTTTAAGGATGGACATGTTAAGGAAGAATGTACCATATCTTGAAAAGAAGAAATGAAGCAGCTATTGGAAAGATTACTTCTAATTGCAGTTCCTGTTATTACAGATGACAAGGAGGAGAATTTAATTAGAAAGATACACAACTATGATTGAAAAAACCTCCTCCTTTTTGGTGCAAATACGCCTTGATGAGATTAGATCCACTACAAAAAAAAATAGTCACAGGGACTTCAAGTACATGTTACAGATACAAGGCAACAATATGAGTTCTCATGTTACAGAAATTTAGTATTTCTTGGCAAGATCTGATACTGAATTATAAGTCCCCACGCATGCACTCACCAATCCCAGTGCAACAATAGCAATACTGAGCACAACCTGGAAGTAAAAGCCACATGTAATCAAGTGAAAAGATGCAATTATATTCAACACAAGACAAGGTAACATAAAACACAAGAAACACTTGGGGCATGCTTCTGCTATCTTGACTAGTTAATAGCAACTTATTAGGTTTCCCAAATGACTATGCTTTCCATTATCGCTAGCTTTACATGTGGTTATACTGCAGGTTGTGGTTATATTGCATATCTACTACAGTTCAGAAACTTATCCTCAAAGAAATTTTTCCTGCCAAAAAGATGTTCATCACATATGTTTTGACTACAAAATTTATCCAGATTCCTGAATCTTGGCGAAAATCTAAGTTTTGTCTATAATCCTCCCAACATTTTGTCCCACATCTTGCACCTTGTACAGAGAAAAAGGACCAGATAGACAGAGAAGCAGTTCATATATGTTACAACAGCAAAATAGTGCAAGGACTTGCTCATACCTGAGTTCTGGTTGCCTTTTTCCCCAATATTTTCACAAAGCATAGTGCTGGCATTACAATTGCCTGGATCAAGTGGCATGTGTTATATAGACAAGTAACAGCAAATGACAGAACAATTGAAGCATATAACATTTTTTGCCAAAAAAAAAGAGAGAAATATGAGAAGTCAAGGCAATTGAAAAAGAATCAACATTTTGAGGTGTGAAGTGTGGGAGTGGAATGTAAACTCTTTTTTCTGCCATTCTCCTCTTATTTTTTTTTTAAACTCTTTAATTATGCAAGTAACCAGTTACACCTGAAAAGATACCTAGCTTGGTTTAGAACACGAAAAAGCAATACAAACAGCACTCTGTATGATTCCACATCCCAACATACATGGCACTTCAAGAACAACTTTTCCAGCCTATGGGAAGAGGTGAAAATTAGAATTAAACCAATAGTGATTAGTGAGTCTCTAATTACAGACAAAAATTGAGTAACAGTTACAAGTGGAACAGCCATATAGGTGAGGTGCTTTACAATACTGACATAATTTCCCACGAAACTTTACATGCCTAATGAATACATAAAGCTAGTGAATGACCAGCACTCCCATAAGAAAACTTGGCATTCTACAAATAACATAAAGTTCCTGCTTACAAAGGTGTACTGGACATACCATAAGAATGCTAAAGAGCGAACCAATTAGAGCCATCACCAGACCTACAACAGAGATAGAATACACACTTGAGTTGATCTGGTTGTTGTGTCACGACAGCAGAATAACTCTCTCTAATAGCAAACAATCATGTCACAGATTTAGAAACTCTAATTGGTAATTTCTTCTTGGGGACCTATTAGTTATGTCACTAAACAAAGATTTCTGTTGACAAAATATTTTCTGGTTGACATCAACTAACTTAACTTTGCATCATTAAGAAAATTAGACGAGGATGTAGTAGGCCAATTTATGATAGAGTTCATTAGGATTCCTTGCAGATATTAAGAGTGATGAACTTGCTTAAACGATGTTCAAACCAGAATTATAGCCTCACCAACCCATTCTCACGTTTAAAGAAAGTCAAGCCCCAAAAGGAGCAAAAATAAGACAAGCACTACTTACCAAAGAAAGGAAGAAGAAATGCAACACAGAGAGAAGATAGGACAATTGCTGTCCTTACAGAAATGAACCACCAGAAATTATCAGAGAACCTAGCGGGAAGCAACTCTTCTATACTTCTTGCCAAGGGATTCATCAACAGGGCATATTTAAGCAGAGCGTTAAGGAATTTATCAGAGCAGTTCTCGAGAACATATGATAACATAACAAACAAATTGCTTATATTATCAACAACAAAAACTTATAGCAAAGGATATTTAGTGAGTGGGGTGACAACCTGTACAAAGTGAAAAGAACCAGATGATTAACATTGCGTTGAAGTTGGGCACCCAACAAAATGTATAATTGTACAAAGAGATATAGACAGATATTTCAGATTTTACTCACTGTCGTCCACAATGCAATTTTCGAACCAACTGCATGTTTTGGCAAATTCAGAGTAATCTGAGATTTTGTGCTTTGACCAAACATAAGAAATCCCATGATTGCAGAACCACCATATAGTGCAACACATAGCACGAAACTGCACAAGCAAGTTGACATTTGCAATTCAAAGAACGTCAAATATAGTTAACCTGATAAGTGTGCTTATGTGGAAACTTGCACAAGATAAGTGCTTTTTACCATATGACCACTGCTTTGGTAAATTTGGTTTTATCAGCCATTGATTGGTAGATGTTTGGGAAAACAGAGTGCCCTGAATAGCAGAACCCATAGACCCCAATAGCAAAAGGAATACCGCTCCAGTTCACTAATGGACCATTATGTTCAAATCCAACATGATCTACCGTGCCAAGAATAAATAGGCACAAAACTACGATTACAGTTGAAATGACCCCTCCAGCTGCAAAAACCACAGTCAACATTCACATTAAGCAGAAATTATAAGCCCACTTTTCAAACAACAAAACCTTAATAAGAAACAATAGCAGAGCAACGCAAAGACCTGAAAGATAAGAGATCAAGCGTAGATCTTTTACCCAGACAGTGGGTAGAATGACAAGAACCGTTAAAATTCCAAACAAATGCGTGGAATCCAGTTGAAAACCAGAAAAATCCATGGATGCTCGAGGGAATAATCTGGACAGGTTATCTCCTTCTAGAATTATAAACTCCACGCATGATGTCTGCACTCCAATGAATATGTGTTAGAAACCCGTGATAGTATAAACTTGCAAAGGGATATATCAACACGTAAGGCAAGTGCTTTGCGTACATATAATTCCGCATACAAGATGATCTGCACCAAAACCCAAGAAAGCAGTCAGTCAGTGAAAACTCAAAGTGAAACTTCAAATTAATTGCTTAGCTACTATGCATTCA